TTTTTTTTCTGAAAAGTTGGTATTTTACTTTTTACTTATTTATCTCTAATCTAACCTAATCTAAACTTAGGCTAAATGGAAAATTCTACAATTTTTATCACCTTTTCTTTTCTCTCTGAAAAGTTGATATTTTACTTCTTACTACTTACCTTTAACCTAATCTAACCTAACTTAAACTCAAGCTAAATGAAAAATTCTACAATTTTTATCACCTTTTTTTTTTCTAAAAAGTTGGTATTTTACTTTTTACTACTTACTTCTAATCTAATCTACTAATCTAACCTAATCTAACCTTAAGCTAAATGGAAAATTCTACATTTTTTGTCACTTTTTCTTTTTTTTTCTAAAAAGTTGAGATTTTACTTCTCGCTACTTTCAATCTAATTTGCGTCTTTTTCTGATTAATTCATTACCACACTTTTTCATTTTCAAGGCTATGAAACGAAATAACCGTAAAATAACCAAACGACTAATAATACAGAAGATGTAATTGAATTAGAATTCATTTACGTTTGATTCAATATTTTTTTGTTGCAATTATTGCCAATAACATTGCCGGGCGCCTTTAGCTCGATTCGAGCAACGTGAAGTGAGCGCCAACAGTAGCCAAGGGGTTAACTTTCATCGAGGCTCGATCGACGAAATCGATCAATCGATTGAAACCTTCCATCGATCATCGTTGCTTTCGTTTCTATCGAAACGAAGGGAGGCGACCTGGAAATGCCGATTAAATAAATGGCCGAATCATTAACGAGGCCGCTCCATTAATCCTCGATATTATCGTTACGTAATTATCGAGTTAATCGCGGCATATTTTGGCACACGCGCGCCATTTACCAAAGCAATCAGAGTTCGCCCTGCTCCCCGTTCGATTGAATTCAAGCTTCGTCCATTACCGATTGATTTTTCAATCTGACGAGTGTTTGTGACCTCTCGAACTCGACGTTCGTCAGGGATCGATCGACGAACGACACTCGTTGGGCGTTCAATGTCCCCTCGTAACAAGTATGTGTCGTGTAACCGTCGAACGACAAACCTCGAACGCGGCCTGCGAGTTCAGCTTTTGAAAACTGGAAAGGGGGTAGATATATACCTTGTTTCCACGGGAGAACGCGACGGACCATCGCTGGAAGCCGCAGATGAGCTCCTTGCTGGTGACGTCTCTCTCAGGGTCCCGTATCACGCTCCTGGTGACGACGAACGAGAAGACCCGCGTGCTACTGCTGTCAGGCAACTGCGCGAATCTGTACAGCAGGGCCATCACCGCATCTCGAGGGCACAGCTAAACCGGTCCAGATCACTCCACCCTATCCGTCTTTGCGAGATTTCTTTCTTCGCACCGTCCCCTGCAAACGCCAAACAATTCCATACCTTTTTCTCTCTCTCTTTCTTTCTTTTTTTTTCTTTTTTTTTTTTTTTGTTACTCTTACTTTCATCGAAGCAAAGCAGTCTCTCTTTTCTTTTTTCTTTTTTTTTTAAACTCGTTTTATATATTATACCGTGTACAACATTCGTATGGGAGAAATACGATAAATATATTGAGAGCAGCGTAAGAAGATCTGATGATACGTTGGGAGGAGGGAAAAAGGAGAAGCTACGCCGGTAAATCCTCTTAGGCCATTCCGATGTAATCCCTCGACGTGCGTGACAATTAATGCCACAAGGAGCTTTACTGGTGCGTCCTACTATTTTAGAATGGAAAGCGGATTACGCCCGCTCGTCCGCATCTCGACTCAAAGGAATACCGCCCGTTCGTTTGCAGGGATTTTAGCCGGAAAGGTCATTTGAAAATGGCACTCGTTACATTTATAAACGTTGGGTGGATGGATGGCTGGCTGGAGGGGAAGTTTGTGTCATTTGACTGTGTTAAAATTTGATCGAAATCTGGCGAACTTTGCGCTTCTTTCAAATACATATATCGTCTATTAACGATACTTTCGAAAGGACTACGAGAGAATACAAAGTTTCTATTTCTTTCTTTTTTTTCTTTTTTAATAAAATATAAGAAAAAAATAATTTCAATTAAATTTCAAATTACGGATTTTTGGCCCACCCTATATAATGCAATGCATACTTAATTTCTCATATTATGTTTCAGTTAAAGTCTTTAATCGTTGAACAGCATTTCATTTTAGTTATTTGAAGCATTCATCGATGACCACCATGGCCCCATCTAACTACGAAACTTGACTGTCAGTCAACGTGTGTCTGTGTGTATCGAAGAAAGATTCGAACAAACGACTGCGCAAAAATCGAGAGAGTGCGAACCATCCCACGTACAGAAGCGTTCGTCCCATTTCGAGGGAAAATGTGATCGAGCAACCGATTTCGCGGCGAGAAATTCACGAGTGAAGAGCAGCC